TCCAGGGTTACTACTCTGATAAAATGAAGATTTGTATCTCAATGACATGCTGCAAACGTGATGAGAAGTGGTTTTCGAACAGTTCCAAGATATTGATATTGGCAGTGGGGCAATGCATGCGTCTCCAACAACTTCTTCCGAGGAACTGTATTAGATTCTGAAAAGAAATCGAGAAATAGCGCATGACATCTGCATTTGTCCATGCCATTTTATATTGTTTACTCCTCGAAGCTTGTTGATGTTTTCAGTATTGAGGTACACCAATGAACGATAAAGGCACCTCTTTGCGTAATCCGTTTGACTTAAAATCGAATCAAGAATCTCTAAGTTTCGAATTTAAAAAACGATTTTTGCCAGGCTTCTAATCTTTTCGTTAATCTTTTATCATCAAAGCCTGTTTATGTCTTTTTGAAGTGAATTATGCATGCTTATTTTTGCTTTTACTTGTTACATTATTTTTATTTCTGTTAATTTAGCCTTCTTCGGAGTCTTTCTATTGATAAAAATGTAACAGACTTCTTTATGCAAAACTGCTAACTGGCTCTCCATTTAGAACAGCACTCAGGAGAACGGGAAAGCGTAAAAATTTGTATTTTTTTCTGGAAAAGTAGTTGGTTTGCTTGAGCAATGAATTGCTTTCAGAAGATATTTGTTTCTAACTCGGCTATTTTTAAGTTGAAATATCTGTTTTCCCATCGGTTATGGTAAACATGTTTTTGAACAGATGGATCGAATTCAGGTCCCATGTCATATTAATCGCTTCTTGCTGAATGCATTGAAAATGTTTCAGGTCACCAGAACGAAATATCAGGATGCGGCCTTGGGGCAAAATGGCTAAGTTTTATGGCATCTACAGTTTTGGACTCAGTCCGTATGAACAGAGAGCCTTCCGCGGGTATGGAAAGGAATTGGCAAAGACGTTCAACCAGCATATAAAAGATTACTGGTTCATTTACCTGCTGCCGTTGGCGATTTTGGCGTCTAGAGCCAAGGGACTCGATATGGAAAACAAAAGCCTAAGAAAGGACCCATCAAAATATGTGAATGACAAATAGATGTTGTCGCCATAGTTTCTCAGATCATTTTATTAAACTTATTTGTTGTCAGCAATTATAGCATCCTAATTCATTTTGCCCTTGACAGTTGCTTTCTTTAATAAATTTT